TGGGTCAGCGGCCGCAGGAGAGTCCAGACGGCGGCCGAGGAGCGGCGGGGCGCGCCGGGGCACAGGAGGATGAGCGGGAGGAAAAGGATGAGGACGAGCATCGGGGGTCCCCAAACGTGGTGGTGAGAACACCCGGTGGTGAGTCTGGGGCGAATTGGTGTCACCACCGGATTTTGGAACTCGGGTGGTGTTCCGAGGATGTCTCGAGCGCGGGTGGTCCCGGGAATCACGAAACCCGGTGGTGACCCTGTGCCCCCAAACCTAGAAATTTCGGTTTTGGGATTTCAGGTCACCACCAGGTGTCTCACCACCTGGTTTGGGGGCCACCAAGAGCAGCAGCAACAGGAACTAAAGCGCAGGGATCGGGAGGGAAAGAGGGACCAGGGAAAGGCGGAGGAGGGGAAATAGAGGGGCGACAACGATGAATCCATCATCGGATCCAGAGAAGTGGCCCGAGCCGGGGCCAGACGAACAGCAACAGCAGCAGCAGTACCAGCAGCAGCAGAAGCAGCAACTGGTGTGCAAAGAGCAGGAGGAACAGGAGGACCAGGGAAAGGCGCAGGAGGGGAAATGAAGGGGAGCCCACAATGGAGCAAGACTCGGATCCAGGAAAGTGGCCCGCGCTTGGACGACAGCGCCATTCTGAACGACGGGAGCAAGGTGCCGATTCGAAAAGGAGGTCAAGCTGCAGCGGGAGCACAGAACATATATGGCTCGTCAGAAGAAAGTGCAAGAAGACAGTGTTTGCAAAACCAACACTCGGATGAAGCGGGAGATCTTCTGCACAACTTCAGGGGAGGAGGAGGGAGAGCAGTGTTCATATTGTTGAATTGCAGAGAGGAGCCGCACTCGGAACATGAAGGACTTCGTGTGCGTGTCGAGGAGCAAATGCTGGAGGTGCATGGGAAGCTGCTCCCACGCCATGTCCAGAAGCACCGCTCGGAAGGAGGAGAGGAAAATAAGCCAGAGGGGGAGTCAAGTTAGCCAGGTCGAACGAGTCGGTGGGCCCAGTTCACTGCCACCTTCCACCCCATAGCACGAGAGGCCTTGCTGGCGCAAGTTGATACTGGGACTGGCGCGCATTCCTACCTAGCGGACGGAAAGTGCTCGCGCGCGGTCCCGCGCCCGATTATTTGTCAGCGTGGAGGGGGGACACGGGCTGCGCATGGGCGTGAACGGAGCTTCCGGGAAATCCTGGCGTGGGGTTGCGGCAGGAGCCCTGCGCAGCTTTTGTCTACCGCGCGGGCAGATTTCGCCTCAGAGTGGCGCGGGCCGAGACAGCGCCGCCACTTTCGCGCGAAATCTGCACGGCGTTCGGGCGAGATCTGCACATCGCCCGCTCGCAGGCGGTCGCCGCTGCCCCTGTCTGGCGCCCCTGCGGGGCAGCAGTCTGCGCCGCGCCCCACCGGAAAAAAACACCGCTTTCGTTGGACATCGGCACGGACATCGGAGGCAGAGGCGACGAGCTGCCCGTGCGCGCGCGCGGGGCGGCGCAGCCTCCCCCGGAGTGGCTCCTGGACGAGGCCGAGCCGTATGACTCGGTAGCAAGTCACTTGGCATCGCTCGGACGTGTGCATGTTTCCCTCGGCGAGGACCATCGAGGAGCATCCTTGATCATTTGGCGAAAAAAAAAAAAACACGCACGAAACCGAAAAAATCAGAGGGAATGGGCGTTCGAGCGATGGCCAGGTCATGGGCGCCTTGAGTGCCCTCGCAATTCTGTCTTTCGCGTCGGCTAGCGGCGACTAGCGTCTGAGAGTCGATGGGGTAGCGTCGGTTTAGCGTCGGCTGGCATCGATTAGCGTCGGCTTAGCGTCGGTTAGCGTCGATTCAGCGTCGACGGGCGTCGATTCGCAAGAGCCGACAAGATGGTACGGGAGGCTCCCATGAGTTGCCAACGAAAGTTGATATTCGGCCGCGCACGTTTGCCATATAGCTACAATAAGTTCTGGTTCCCCGGAGGGAGGCTGGACCCCGAGCAGCGCCTCGGGTGAATCCCAAACGGCCCCAGGTTACCCCAGGGCGGCCCCCGAGGGCCCACGAACGCCCGAGGAGACCTCGAAGCGACTCGCCCAGCGACCCCCGAAACGGCCCAAACTTGCCAAGGGCATCCCAAGATGGCCCCAAGATGACCCCGCTCAGCATGGCCCATTTTGTCCTTGGACACGGACGACGAGCGAGGTTCACAATCAAGTGCAGCGGGGGTCAAACGCCATTGATGCGCAGATCAGTGATGCCAGCAGCTCCAGCTGCACGGTGCGTTGCGATCAGCAATTGATGGCAGAACGGTTTCATGAGAGCACCCGCAAGCCAATCGCCGTCAGCATCCCCAGGACAATGCTCGCCAAGTCCTCGCAGGTCATTGGGGGTCCAGCAACGCCAAACACGCCCCATGGGAAGTGCAGTCCCGTATCGGTGCCAACGTTCCCGACATGACCAAGAATATGACGTTTGACTTCGACCAGGCGGTCGACGCTACAAACATCCTGGGTCGCTTAAGTAGCAACGCGGCGCACATCCACGTGGCCCACCCTGATCCAGAACTCGATGCTTCAGATTCGCACCAAGAGAGGCCAAGATTTCAAACGCCGCTAGAGGATCCTCTCCATAGGCCGCGTCTTTGCGTACACCACCTCACCGCACAGTTGGTTTTCCATAGCATCACAGTTGGCAACAATGGCATTGATAGAATGGTCTACGACCTGAAGAGTCCTACGAGGGACCCATCGATCTGGCAATTACCGCTAGAGATTGCGAAGGCCTTGCGGCCAGTGCCGCCGACCCTGAAGGGAGACGACGACGACAACGGCGGCGGCGGCGGCGGCGGCGACGACGACGACGCTGACGTGGGCCAGATTCCTCGGGGATGGTTCTTGGGGTTTCTTCGGAAGGCTCTCGGGGGCCTCCTGTGAGGAACTCTGGGGTCTCTTGGGAGCCTCTTGGGAGCCTCTTCGGAGATTATTGACGACGAGCTCGCGATCAACACCGAGCTCCACACATCCAGCCTTTGTGAGTTTGGGCTGGAGGCCCACGCCGAAGCCAACCGCCACGCAACCAACGCACAGGTTAGGCGTCCTTTAGCCGCTGACTTCGGCTGCGCTGCAATCTCAGTGCTCGACTAGACGTAAAAGTGACCTTCCGTCGGAATGACCTTTGGTGCGGGCCCTATGGGATCCCCCGGTCGCTGAGCTCGAAGCGGTGGCAGCGGCTTGCGCGTCCAGGTTTGGCCACCCCGCGTCCTCTTGCGTGTAGCCGGAATTCGCACGCGCAGTCTTCTGACCCTATCACCCTATCATTGCACGAGCGTGATGAGTTACCTCATTTTTGTTGTTCCCCCAATAGTCTGCCCCTCACCCCCGTCCTCACCGCTCCCACCTGCGCTCTTGGAGTACATGCGACCTGTCTAGTTCGGTCAAGCATGCCATTTGAAGCGCCAGCTCCCTCATCCTAAAGCACCTGACCGTTTTCCCATCACATTCTGCCAGGAAGCGCATGGTCATATCGGAGGCTGGGGGGTGAGATCGAAGTGGGACGGAGAGCCCCCAACCAGGGAATCGGTGTCGGTTTCGGGTTCGTGTCGCGCGTGCGGGCGAGGCGCAGCTGCGTGGGCGGGCGAGAGGAATGACCCCGCTGTGGCTAGGGCGGGTCAAGAAAAAAGACTGCCGCTCCTGTGGGCTGTCGTGGCCGGGGGTGCCCCGCCGTGGTGTTCCGTCAGTGTCCCGTCGGTGTCCGCGGGCGGTGTCCGGGCGTGTCGCGCCGTGGTATCCTGTCGGTGTCCCGTCGTGAGCGCATCACCAGCGTCGCCACCATCACAATCATCGCAGTTGACCTCAGTTGGTTCTTTACCCCCCAATCTACTTATCACTGGAAGGGTAGTCAAAAAGGTAGGAGATATTGGAGGTCCCTGTCGCGAGCTTGGTTCGGCGATCTTTGGTTTCTCTATATTGGGTAGTCCTTCTTGAGTCTCAGCGAGTGGGGCGGGGGTGAGACGATCTTGAGCCCAAAGATCTGCCAGCGCTTCGCACGCATCGTCCGCCCTGTCGCCATCACTGTGCCTATCCAGCACATTCGCCGTACAAGTCCTGTTAGTGCTCTTGACACCTTAACCTCCACTTTCCCAACACGCTTGGCATGATTGTTGTTTATGCGAGGGCGCTGGCATCGTCCCGCTAGGAATATCAGAAGTTGTCGTATGCTCATTGGAGTTCCGTTGGGGAGGACGCAGTGGGACGGTTCGCAGTGGAGACCTGGGGACCCCGCGCACTCGCGCATATTCCAACGTGACGCTCCTCGCGTCACAGAGCATCACCGGACCGAGACACTCGGAGAGAGGTTAGGTTTGTCCAGATTGCCGGGCTGGATCTAGCTTATACGTCCTTTCTACAGGTGGCATTGCGATGTTTGAATTTCCGCTGTGGCGTACTCGTGAGGTTGAGCGCGAAAATGACAAGCGACGACATCCCGCTCTTCGCCTCCGTGGAAACCTACAGCTCCCACTGCGGCCACCAAACCACACCGAAATGCATCGCCAAGCGCTCGGGGATGTGCAGCTCACTGGAGCCTGCCATAGCAGATCCCCGATGCAGCGCGTGTTTCGCCTGAAGATTCTTATGTTCGACCCCGCTGGTCACGTTCGCGACTTCATCAGGCGGGAGGTTGCTGACGCACTGCAGCTCAAGCAGCACTGGGCTTAGCTACCGCACAGGAGGCTCTGCAATCCCACAAGGGGCTCTGCAGCTGGGGGCTGCGCAAGGGACTGAGTGATCCACCATGCTTTGAGATGTTGCCCGACGCTGCTCTGCCGCTTTCCAGCGTCTATTCTCAGCGACGCCCGATCCATGGGAGTCCTGCGAGATTGATGAATCCGAGGCCGCCCCTGAGGCAACGCCTGGTCAGGAAGCGAGGGCCCAGAGAATGCGCGAGCTTTTGAGGCGTTGCAGAAGTACGCCTTACCTAGCGGGCGTGAATGGTGAATATAAGGTATCCCATGCAGGTCCGTCGACCAGTCCGCCCAGGTCCTCAAGCAGCGCCTGCTAAGGCTCCCGACCCTCGACACGGGTCCCTGGCCTGGAGTGGAGCCCGTTGTACAGCAGGCCCCTGGCCCGCTTCCGCGCGCACGGCAATTTCGCACGAGTGCGCCCGCTCGCGCGTGCACAGCGCGCCGGGCGAGGGCTGCCCTCTCGACTCGATGTCTCTTTGGCCACGACCACGGTCGACGGATTCCACCGTCAAGTTGTCTGCGTCTGTACGGGCGGGAACTTTTCGATACCGTGTCGCTCACTCGGTTCTGGCCCAACGCGCTTCGGCGCGACACGCTACGTGTCCACCATGCGGCCCCAAGCGTCCACGTCCCGAGAATTTCCGAGCCTCCCGCGGAGCGGAGCGGAGCGACGCGTTATCCGCTCGGAGGTCATAGCGCGTCGCCTGGGGGAGCGATATGTGACATGATATCCCACAATTCCCGATGGTACCTCCTCTCTTCGGCCACGCGCAGAGGGGGGTAGGGGGAGGGGGAAGGCTTCTTAGAAGCACCCTTGCTGCTTAGAAGGCGCAGGCCTTCTCTATACATGTAAGGCCGGCGCCTTCTAAAGAGCAGCCCCCGTCTAAGAAGCCCTCCCCCTCCCCCTACCCCCCTCGGCGCGCCGCCAATCTCTCCTCATCCAATTCCTGCCACTTGCGCGTTCCTCTTCTCTTGGCCCGCCGGTCGCAGTCAGCGGCAACGCGCGGGAGGGGGCGCAGGTCCTCTCCAGAAGGAAGCCTCGCGTGCGGGCGGCTTAGCGGAGGGAGGAGGAGTTGGGAAATTGGATTAGGGAATCTTGGGTTGCCAAGATAAAATACAAGCCCTGACCCTAATAACACAATGAATGCGAGGCCTACCTTAGGTCGACGTTTCATATACATCACCTTCGCCTCTTGTTCAGCGGTCTTTCGCCCTCTCGCACTCTCTGCCTCTCTCTTCTCTCTCTCTCTCTCTCCCTCTCTCTCTCTCTCTCTCCCTCTCTCAGTCTATGTGCATTCACACACCTGCGTGTATACTTGCACCTTCAACAATAACGGTGAGATAATTGCACTCCGTCCATAGATTGCGACACGCACATCCGTGTATCTTTCCAACGGTTGCGCTAACGGCCTCTCGATTTACACACGCCAGGCGTGTGATTGCAGTCTTGCGTAGTTTCTCACAGGGCTCACCAGACATATCAAAACATATTCCGATCTAGCAGCGTAGCAACCGCATGGGGCAATCTACTTGGGCAACCGCGGGAAAGCCCGACCGCAATTGCCCCCAGGACTTGGTGATGAGTTCCAGCGTGAGTTGGAACCTACTCGCCACAGTCACAGGGGGAGAAGAGCTGGGGTGGTGGTCCCTCCTTCCCCGCAGACGCAGCTCAGCCTCGACTGCAGGGGGCCCACGCGCACCCAAACCGAAGCCGTTTTTGGTTGTGCGGGGGTGGGGCGGGGGGCATTCCGTTTCACGTCGGCCAGATTCCAACATCTGATACAAGCACAAGTGAATGCGTACCAGTTGGTTTGTCTTTGGCGGTGGCATTTGCATTGACGTTCGATGTCTGTGGTCCGTGCACGTCGTCCTTGTCGGGCATATCCATGGAAGGAGTTTGCGTTGGGAGCGCGCTTCGTTTTGGGATGGTGGGGCTGCCTGAACTCAGGCAGAAGGATGCGGACGCCGACAAAGACCACGAGGCCAGCGATGCGGTGCAAGTATTCGGTTGGTCGGCTGGGCGTGTCGTGACCGAGTGTTGCCTGGTATTGGCCGGTGCCCTGTCAGATCGACTCGTGGAAAACTGGCGGCGTGTCGTTTTCCAGCTCCTCCCGTGTTTCTGCACTTCTGCGCCTTCCTCCTCCCTTCCCCTTCACATCCTCCTTCTCATCCTTTCGCTCTTTCCTCTCCTTTCCTCCACGTTTCTTCTACTACTTTCCTCCACATCATAATTCCCCAACTCGTCTCTCTTGCCCAACCCTTCTCCCTTGTTATCCTCTCCCACGTTCTCTTTCATGTCCCCTCTCTCGTTCCCCTCTCAGCATCTCTGCTCTCCTGCTACCCCCTCTTCTTCTCCCGTCCATCCTTTTCACTTGCGGATGAACAATGAGGGGGGAGAAGAAGAGGACGAGGACGAGGAGCAGGGACGACGAGGACGAGGAGGACGGAGGAGGGCCGAGCAGGAAGGAGGACGGATGGGTGGGAAGGAAGGAGGAGGGAACACGAGGAGGAAGGACGAAGGAGGCGGAGGAGGAGGGGGACCATGAGGCCTAGGAGGAAAAGGTAGAGGGGGGATGAGGACGGATGAGGAAGAGGAGGAGAAGGAGGAGGCCACCACCACCACTTTCCCGTAGCTGGTCCCGGCGCCCAGATCCCATCCGTTATATGCGACCTGTGGGTGCAGCTTGACCCCGACTTGGGGAGCTGTGTGGGCGTTGGGGGGGACGGGGAGACTTCGCAGCATTCATGTGTAGGCCTCGTGCGGGCCACTTTTTAATTGTTTCCTCTCTGACCCTGCGTGCTGCTTCTCTGTCCTCTTCGGACTACGCTTCTGGGGCAACCCTCAGATTTCAACGGCCTTCATCGACCGGCCGACCAACTGATGAGGATGAGGGGATGGGATGACGTCTTCGCATGGGGGCGACGAGGCTGACGGAAGAGAGTGAGGGGGAAGAGCGATAAGGAGGGAGGAGGCGGGACCAGGGAGCAGCGGGGGGGGGAGGAGGAGGAGGAGGAGGAGGAGGAGGAGGAGGAGGAGGAGGAGGAGGAGGAGAAGGAGGAGGAGGAGGAGGAGGAGGAGGACGACGACGATGTCTTCGTGCTCTGCGGGCTCCTGTGCTTTGCCATTCTCTCTGCCCTCCCTTCCACTTCGCAGCTGCCCCCTTGCTCCCCTGGCGCTCGCTTGCTCTTATGAGCACCTCGCGTGCACTCTGTGCGTTCTGCCCGACAGGTGCCCGCTCATTGGGGTGCTTGCTTCTCCTCCTCCTCCTCCTCCTCCTCCTCCTCCTCCTCCTCCTCCTCCTTCTCTTCTTCAGGACTTTGATGGGTCAGCCGAGGTTTCGCACGGTGCCCGCCCGTGGGCGCCTCGTGGGCGCCTCGTGCGCCGCGTGGGTCGGCCGAGGTCTCGACGGGTGTCCGCCCGCGGGCGCCTCGTGGGCGCCTTGGTGCGCTGGGCGGCCGCTCAGCTTGCACCGCGTAGCTTTCACGGCATGTCTCACTGCATACAGCTTGCGACGCCCAGCTTGCACAACATGGCTTGCACTGCCTGTCTTCAGCGTCGCATGGCCTACACCGCATAGCTTACGCCGCATAGCTTGCACCGCACGGCTGTCACCTGCGCGGCACAGCTTGCAACACGTACATCGCGCCGCGTAGAGTGCACAGGATGGCTTATGCCGCAGCTTGCACCACGCAGCCTGCACCACATACCCCACACAATCACAGTGCAACAAGTCACTGCTTGTGATCCGCCGAACCTGCTTGTTCTGGACGTGGTCGCTTGCACACGCTACAATGCTGGCTCACCCAAGTGTCGACGGCGAGCGAGGGGTGAAGTGAGAAGGAGACTGCCTTCTCAGGAGGCGGCGGGACTACTCAGAAGTCCTCGCGCCTTCTGATCGTTGTTTTGTCTTCGGGAAGGCTTGGAAAACTTCACAGAAGGCGGGGGACTTCCGAGCCTTCTGAGAAGGCCGTCTCCTTCTCACTTCCCCCCTTCGCTCGCCGCCATACTTGGGAAGTGCTGAAGCGAGGGCGAGGAGAAGCGGGGGAGACGGACGGCGAGGGGCGAGGAGCAGGGATGGAAAAGAGCCGGGAGAAGGAGGAGGAGGAGGAGGAGGAGGAGGAGGAGGAGGAGTCCGTAGCCATTTTGGTTCAAGTCCGTAGCGGTGGTCCAGGACGTGAACATTTTGTTAAGCTCTGGGGACCAGCGGCCCCGCCCGATCTTGGAGGCAACACCTCCAGCCGTTCTTCGATATTGCATTGCGGTCCCGTCCCGCACCCGTGCGCGCACTCGTCACGGCAGGCCGATGGCACCACATGGTTTCAGGATCTGGGCTTGCAGTGACAGAAAGTGCGGCTACAGGCACGATTTCCTCTCGCGACGCCTGCCGAGTGTGCGGCAAGCCAGCGCCCACCAATGTGCTTAAGGTCCAGCCCGGCGGCGGCACGGCTCAAGGCGCCTGGCAGCGCGGCCCGCCGTCGCTTCATGGCAGTGCCGCTGTGGTCCTGGACGGAGAATCGCCCAATGCCTACGCGAAGCTCAGCGTGGATGACCTCAGCAACCTATCCACCGCGTGGCCGCCCAAGCAGGTCGCCCGCGTGCTGGCCAGGAGGGCGCTGCTGCAGGGCGAGCCCGTCGCGTCTGCGAAGGAGGCCAGCGTCGCGCAGGACCAGCTGCCGGACCAGCGCGGCAAGGCGCAGCACGCCTACGACAAGGCCGTAGAGCAGGCCAATCAGGCGGTCGCCCGAGCCGCCAAGCTCAAGTCTGAGCTGGACGTGCTCAACACCGAGTGCAAGGAGGCCGCCGATAGGGCAGCCAAGGCGTATGCGGAGATGGGGTCGGCCGTGGTCGTCGAGGGTGGGCCCGTCCAGCAGCTCAGCGCCCAAGCCGAGACCGCCGCCAAGGACCAGCGGTTGCAGGCCTTCGCCGCTCAGTTCCAGGGGCTCCTGCCGAGCTTGCAGGCCGTCCTGGCGGCTCCTGCTCCTGAACCTGCTGCTGATGATGCCGCTCTGCGCGACGATGGGGGCCCTCCCCCAGCCGCCAGCGAACCTGCTGCCGTGCCCGCCGCCGCTGAGCAGCCGCAGCAGCCAGGCGCACCAGGCACTCCTGCTGCTGGCGCCAGCGACGCCTCAGCCACTCGGCAGCGGGCAGAAACCGCAACCGCTTATCAGGAGCTGCTCGAGTGGTGCCAGCAGCAGGCTACCGATCCGCCCGCAGAGGATGGTGAAGTCTCCGTCCCTGCCCAGTCCGCTGCCGCCATCCTTGCCGACAGGCATGGGGTAAAGCACGGGCTGGTGCAAGGGATCTTCGATTCAATTCTCAATCAGGCCAAGCAGAAAAAGGCCAAGACTGATCCAGCGTCTGGGTCGCAGGCGCGACCATGTTTCCACCGCGTTCGCTATCATCACCAGCAAGGTCACTGGCTTGGTTGGGCGCGAGCCGATTTCGAAGCACCCGGGGGTGTTGGCCGCCGATGACACCGCTGTACAGGAGCATCACCTTGACAGCTCCGAACTTGACGCGTGGGAGAGCACCCGGGGAAAGGCTGGATGGAAGGCATCTGTTCAGGCTGCTGCTGACACTGGGCGTGGCGGCAACTCTGGCGGGCTCCTGCAGATGGTGCCCAAGACGTTGGACTTGCGACGGTTCGAGGTCGTGGATGCCGACATTGCTGCGGGGCGCGCTCGCATTTTACGTTGTCATAGCCTGGTCCCAGGAGGTTTCGCTTTCGCCACGGTATACTGTTGCGTCATGGTCAAGAGCTGGGGCCCATAATGACTGGCGCATCCTTACTTTGCCCGGCGGTGCCCTGAAGGAGCTGGCCGTTCCCTGCGTGCTGTGCGGTGACTTCCAGTTGCTGCCTGAGACTCTTATCGGCTCCGAATGGACGGAGCCATGGATGCGATGTGCGCGGCGCCTCCCTGTGCTACGTGCGCCAGCAGCTCGGGCGGAGCCGGCAGCTGCATTGGCTTCTGCGTGGTCTCCCGCTGCCTGCGCTATAGGGGGCGAGCCGAGGTCCTTGTCGACGGCGGCACCGCGCCGCACTACCCCGTCGCCCTCGCGATGCGGCAGAAGGGGCCCCCGCGACCTGAGCTACCTGGTCGCCAAGGTGCCCGAGCGGCTGCCGGCTGTCATTCCTGTTGGCTGCCGCCGCGCCGACCCCGCATTGCACCGGGTACGCATGCAGCATTATTCCGAGGGTCTCGGTGTCGATAGCACGCGGCGTCTTTGGCTCGACGCGGCCGAGCGCGATTGGGTCGACGCGCGCGATCTCGACGTCGAGGCAGGCCCAATGTTTCAGCGGGTCAGAAGGCCCCAGTTTCAGCGCGAGGCAGGCGCCTCGTTGGAAGCACCTCGCCTGCCCGCGTCCTAGCGCCGATGCGTTGTGGTGGGGGCTTCCCGCTAGGTGCCTAGATTGGCTCGCAGTGCGGCAGCCGCCTGCCCTTCGCAACTGCGCGCTTTGTTTGGCGCGTGAGCTTAGCATGCGCGCGCCGCGGGGCGTCGGTAGCATGGGCGATGTGACTGCGTGGTGCGCAGCGTTGCTCATATCCGCTTTTTTTTTTTTTTTTTTTTTTTTTTTTTTTTTTTCCTCTCTCTCTCTCTCTCTCTCTCTCTCTCTCTCTCTCTCTCTCTCTCTCTCTCTCTCTCGCGCGCGCGCTTGCGCGCGCGCTAGCCCGGGTTGCGCGCGTCGTGCTGTGGCCGCGCCTCGCGCTGGTGAGAACGGCATGTGTCGCGGCTAGAAGTCTCGGGCCGAATCTCACGCGCTGAACGGAGGCGCGGCCCTCCACGCACGCAGCATGCCAGCGTTGCCGCGGCGCGCCAGCAGCCTCTCTCCTTCAGAGGTGCCCGCCTCCAAGAACGAGGAGGTTCAGCTCCTGGGGGAGGAGTGGTCTGGGTGGTGAAAGATTGGCGCCCTTGAGGATGATCTGTGGTGGCCTACCGATTTAGGTCTAAACTTCTCAGTGCCCAGTCTGGAATATTTAT